GCCGGATGTTTTAATCCTTCTTCTCAATGCAGATGGGTGGGAACACCAACCGAAACATCGACGGCACGTGTACGGTCGACCTGTGTGTCATGTGAGTACGTAGCGATACGGGTAGGTTGTCTTGTATTTCGTGGCTCGATTGATTCACAACCAAGATGGTGCCAACCACAACCAAGAGGGTTTCCATCGACAAGCAACAACTGACCAACGCTGGAAAGGGTGGTCTTACGAAATTTCTCGTCGAGAGCTGTCTTTCCTTTGCCATGCATCCGTCGGTTTTCGCGCGCTCTTGGATGTGGGCCGATCGGGCTTTGAACGAAGGTCAAGGAGGGATAAGCGTCATCACGGGCACATTTGCGGGGGGGGGGGGGGAGCTTGCCCTTACCTGTTGTCTCACCGTTTGCATTTGCAGTGGTCTCACCTTACGACAAGATCCTCATCTTGGGGGGGTGGGGGTGTGTTGGGTCTTTGTTATTTGCATCCACCGCGCTGACCGGCTGACCAATGAAAAGGCGTCAGTCTTAGTGCAGTTGAAACACAAAACACTTCTATCTGCCATGAACTGGGAGACCCCATGAGGGGGGGCAGCATGGGGGGGGCTAAACTATCCTTCGGATCGAAATGTGTGTTTGTGTGTGTGTTCCTAGCGGTGTCCTCGATCAAACGCGTGTTCTTCGGTGGTCCTCAATATCCCGTTCTCTTTGCCGCTGGCTGCTCGTTGGTGCGAAAACTTGTTGCCGTGCAGGTTCTGTTGCGGCTGCCCCTTGCCGTGCCGAGTTACCGTCAACGGCATCGGGGGCCCCGACGGTATTGTGGGAAAGGGGGGTGCACCCGTCGCGGACGAGATCGTTCGCTGACGACCGCCTTTTTTGTTTCCCCTTATCTTGACGTCACGTAGTAATAGACCACCCTCCCTTTCGCGGGAAAAGGGAGCGTTCCAGAGCACAGCGTTTGCTGTCTTCACTCAACCTCCAAGTCCCAGTTTGTTCTCTTCACCCGCTCTAGCTTTGCGTGAGGGGGTGGAAGGTTTGCTTTTTGTTCTGTGCGTTGCTCTGCGATGATGCCCTTCCTTGCCTTGACGTGGTGGGCTGGCGCGCAGCGTTTGCTGTGGTTGTTGTTTGGTCCGGCCGTGTGCCGGCCGACCCGCCCGTGTACGTGGGCTCTCTCGCACACGCCTGGCTTCGTTCGCGTTCATGCGTTTTCATGTGGAGGGGAAACAACCGCTACGCGCTAAGAAGCATGCATGCAATTGATTGCTCCCCTCTGTCTGTTTCGTTTTGCGGTCGTTGTCTTTTGGGTACATGTTTGGGTGCGTGTTTCGATGGACTTGGAGGGGGAGCTTGGATTTGTTATAGGCAAGAGCCACACACGGAATACTAGTTGAAATCGCGCTCGAGTCAATTGGCTACGTTGATGAATGTCCGGGTAACACGGGTTACCTTTGGGAGAGCTAGGGGCCACGGTTTGGCTGTAGTAAGCGGCTATTTGTTCGTTTGTTGATCGCAGAATGCTACAGAATTATGCTTCGTTATGAGGGAGCGGCAGCCCTATCCTACCCTAGCGCAAGCAAGCATTCCAGGCCTTTCGCCCGGCGGGTTATGTGTTGCCCGTCTGGAGTTCAATATGCATGAGTTGTTATTGGGGCGTTGAACGCCAAGCCAACAACACTAGTTTATGCTTTCTTTGTCAGGAGGCGGGTACCGGTTCCAACACAATAATAGTACAATTGAGTAGTATTCAAAGGGCCCCACAAGCGGCCGGCTGGCTCCATGGCAACCCAGCCCCAAGGCTTGTTTTTTGGCGGTGTAAGCGCTCGAAATCTCGCCTCAACACGGTTGTTGTTGCTGGCGACGTTGTGGTTTTTTCTATCTCACTTCTATAGGGAGGAGGGGCGGGCGGCGGAGGGGACAAAGCGTTGCGTTGTTGTCCTTGCCTGCTGCGCGCGGGGAAGGCAGATTAAATATGATAGCACTTGGCATTCTGTGCTGCAATGCAAGTTGGAAGCGGCGGGGGAGCGGCGGGCACCGTCGCCGGGCTCTGTGGCATGATTTGATTGGCTTGAGTTGTTTGTGAATGTAGAACACGCCGCAGTGATCAGTAGAGTGCGAGGTATCTCGAGCTCATCGCTCCACGCGGGGTTCAACTCTGGTTGATGCCTACTTGGCGTGGGGTCGGTGGTAAGCTGCTCTCTTGGTGATTGATGTTCAGGCTGCTGTGTATGTTTGGTGTTTTGTTTAGTGTTGGATGGGTTTTCGGTCGGGTGTATGGCGGCGAAGGCGCATAAGGCGGCGGTTAAGCTGCTGCTGTAGTCTGGTGCCGGCAGACTTTCTTTTGCCAGGCATACTACTCATCGTGTGGTTGTTTGTGTTGATACGTTTTCGATGTTGAATGCGTGAAGTAGCTATCGGAGCGAGTTGCTCCCTAAACGAAGAGCCTGGTGCAGATTTGGATGATTTTAGGAGCCTATATTTTTGCAGAAACTCTGGTACCTGTCTAGATGATTTGGGGAGTACATTTTCGTCCTGGATGAGCTTGTTCTCTTCTCGCCAACGACAGCCTCGCGTCGGGGTACGTTCGGCTCTTGTGTTGGTGTCGGCAATGGCAATTTTAATTAGTGGGCTGATGTGGCGCCACAAATACCTCTTGCCTGCTGCCCACCGGCGTGCACACGGGCAAGGCAGATGCTCCGTAGCGCCTTTTTTTTACATGGCTTGGATTATATATCGCAAGGTGCGGAGAACAAGCGCTGGTCGTGTTTCAGAGCATGCTTGTTTGATGATTTTTTGTTCTAGTGTCGCGGTGATGGTAAGTCAAACCTACAATGTGCTGCTTGTGTGTGGACCGGAGTGCGTTATCCATCAAGGCAGAAAAAGGAAACAAGCGGGGGGTGGGGGGGGGGGGGTCATGTTTCACGATGGGAGGGGCTGACTCATTCGGGTTTCTGGTGTTTTAGAGTGCATCTGCAGGTAGTTTGCCGGTCGCAGCTGCCCATAATTGTATCTAATTTTTTTGTGCACGGGCAATGTATTTGTTCTCTTTCTTGTTGTGGTCGTGCAAGGAAGAGGAGGAGGCCACGCTCGACAACTGTTTTTTACACCACTTGAGCTGAGTAGTTGATTCCGCGTGGAGTGGACTGGGTGTCCTGACGTTGATATAATACGAATGCATGTGTAATGGCGTGTGAGCGAGTGCGCGATTCATCAGGGTGTTGCTCAATTGTTCTGAACCCCTTCTCCCCCAAGCACGTGTGGCACAGCATCATTGGCCATGAGGGCACCGGGAGCATTTCATTTTCTGCACATTGATCGCAGCAAGTTATTTGGATACCTGTTGATGTGCTTCGCTTCTAGTGCCGAAAATGACCTTGCTCTCCCTGTGTTCGACGAACGGTTCTATCGCAGCTGATGCCCTCAACGCCACGCGCAAGAATAACCATTTCCGATATTTTTACGGGCATGCGCACCGCTGTCACTGCTAGAATATTCACTGTTTGTCCTTGATGTCGCTCTCATGTATCACGCACATTCCAGGGGCACCTCTTGGCCCTCTCTCTCTGCCAACAGTGGAGTGCCCGCGGGTCCGTTCACCACCACCCTTTATCTGAAAACCTCCCGCACAACCTTGTTCCTTTTTTTAGCGGAAAATCCCATTTTCGGCGTCGTCTCCAAAACATCTCTCTACTTTTGTGACGTTGCTCTAAGTCTCTATGCCTTGAACGACTCCTACCATTAACTCGAATCCTGGTTTTACTGCCGCAGATACTGGCCAAATTTCTGGCAACTTTCCCCTTACCCTTCCAACTCGTTTTGTGGCTGCTGCTTCCTGCGAGCTTCATTTTTTGCGAAGGCAAGGAGAGAGTCAGCGAGTCCGGCCCGCCGTCCTTTCTCCCACGCGAAAAACACGACTGACTGCGTTTGTTTGTGGCCGGTCGTGTTGTACACGGCACGCGGCTCCCTGTCCCCGTACTGGTTGCATTCAAGTGGGAGAACAAATGTGCCACGAAGGGGTTCTCTAAGACGCATCTATCTCCCGGGAAAGCGCCACTACATTACTTCGGAACCCTTAAGAATTTCATTTTGCGAAGAAACCAGCCTTCATTGTAAAAACTACCACGCATCGCGCCCACGGAAAACCAAGTGCCGCCAACAGCTGGGCGTGGCACCTTGGGTGCGCACCGGACTCTCCACATGTTGTCGTGGTGAACAAACAAATCATGATGTCTCACACGGCTCATGATGTGCAAGTACGAGCCCAACCAAACCGGGCGCTTCCTCCCGCTCGGTTTCGTTGCTGCACGGGCGGGTTTGCTAGTCGTCCTCGGTTGATGGTGTTGTTCGGCCGTCCTTTGCCGCTCTTGCGGCCTGAGCACCAAAGCCGAGTTCGCGAGACGGTGGGCACGTCAGTTGTGCACGCGAGCAAACGAAAGCGGTGGTCGGTGAATGATAGCCTGGGTGGGCTGCTGTATGTGTGTCCGTACAATAACTTTTCTACTGTAGTATTCAAGAGAGACAGTATCCTGGGTTAACACCAACTGCTGCGCACAATCCAAAACACGGACCAACGGGAGAGTCGGTGGCACAACGATGGCAGATTTTTGAAACGACCACAGGTGGGCCCGGCGCACGCCCCCAAAATGAACGGTGGTACGCGCGCGCGCGCGCATACAACTTCAACCGCACTAAGACTGACGTCTTTTCATTGGTCAGCCGGTTAGCGCGGTCGATGCTAGTAATAAAAAAACACACACAAGAACAAACGCCGCAGGACAAGAGAGGACCTGCCAAAAAGTAGTGGGAATATCGGCGACGAGAGTGGCGGTAGTAAATGCAGGGATGTGTGTTGTTGTGTTTCGTCCTACTTATTTTGGCGACAGTCCCACCATTTTTCGTGGTGAGAAGTGTGCTACACGTGTTTAAGTGCATGTAGAGTGCAACATTTTTCAGTGTATGTTTTTGTCCAACTACAACCGTACACGTACAGCTACAACCAGGGTCACACAGGAGGGGGTAAACACCGAGGCTTTCTTCTTCTTTCTCTTTTTAGTTTCGTGCCCCATGTTTCTCCTGCGGTGCATACTGTTTTTTGCTTTTTTTTCGCGAGGAAGGGCGCAGCCGATGCTAATGAGAGCACCCCGAAACGAACGCGCGTCCAAAGTAGCAGCAGCCACGATAAACGTGCAGTTGTCTTCTGTTATTGCTGCGGTATCTGACTTTTTCCCGGAGAGTAGCAGATCCTCCCCCATGACGCCCCCTCACGGGGTCCCATCATGGCCTTTTGAAGCATTGTGTGTTTTGAACCCACTAAGACTGACGTCTTTCTTTTGGTCAGCTGGTTAGCGCAGTCGATGCTACGATATACAAAAAACAAAAAAACACACACACACCTCGTTCAGCTCGTCGTAGTCCCTGGCAGGCCTTTGAAGAACGCCTCCGTTTCCCACGTCCATATTCGTTTTCCAGAACTTGCCCCAGCTCTCCCAAGGCAAGAACCCGCCGCAGGCGTAGCACTTCTTGGGCTGTCTGAGCTGCTTCCCGGAACGCGATGTGCTCACCAGCCCTGAGCCCTTGCACACCTCGCACGCGCGCTGCGTCACTATTCGCTACATGGATGTGTAGCCCGCGAGGCACAAACGCGTTGTTACCGGTGGGATGACACAGTAGTAGGCAGGTAAATCAGGAACAGAACAGCAGGCGAATCATGTTCTAACCTACCTGCCGTGCTTGCAAATAGCACATGGGCAGTGATGAGACCGCACTAACTGCTGGTAATAAAAAAAAAGAAATGAGCAATTGCGTACACTGAACAGTTGGATGCATATGAAGCAGTAGTGGCAGCTACGGCCGCCACTGTGTCGCACTCTGCTGTTGGGCTCACCTTTCCGAACTCGTACGCCGCCCAGGCATAAGCAGCAAGGCAAGCTGCACTCCCGATTACGATCTTATCGAAATCTGCCACATCGCCTGGAACATACGGGATTTGCTCCACGACAGCTCCCCCTCGAGAAGAATCTGCTGCCACCGCCAGAATCCAAGTAGCATGGTCCATGGCTTCAATAACACTGGCCCCGTCTGCTGCTTCAAAATGCATCATTCGGAGCTGTCCCTTCTGACTAGTCGTACCCCGCCTAGCTGATGCTGTTCTCGATGTGATTCTGGTTGGCACATCTGGATGAAATGCGAGGCAGGTGCTCGAGGCGAATAAGAGAAGGGACGGTGACGAGAGTACGCCCATCTTCATGCTTGTGACTGGAGAGGGCGATTTTGTGCTCTAGGAGAGAGACACGTGACCCAGGGAATGTACACGCGAGAAACCGCTGTCTCTGAGTCTCTGACACCACATGGCGGCTGACGGCATCAAAATGCGGAGAGATTACAGGAAGCTGCTCCCGAAGCGGCACCTGAACCCGAACCCTTGCTGCCACATGACAGACAGCCGTGTGCCGTGTGCCGTGTGCCGTGTGAAGACATCGAGAGACGCTGCGCACTGCAGACACAACACCCTCCCCTCGACTGATGGAGTTATATCTCGAACGGGACGTCTTTTTGTGACTGCTTGTACTTGCAACGTACACACATATTATATTTCTAAGAATATCCAAGAACTTGGCCATAGAGAAAAGGCAGACAGGTGCTCAGTTTTCCGAAATATCCTACAAAAAGATAAAAACCAAGGGTTTACTCGGTAATATTACCGCCGTCAAATTACCGCCGTGGCGGGCGGTCCCGGTAATCCGCCGTTTTACCGCCGTTTTTTGGTTTTACCGCCTCCGCCAAAGCCGCTACAGCCGAAAAACGCGTTACCGCTTACCGTCAAAACCATTACCGCCGTATGGCGTTACCGCCGAAAATTTACCGCCGTTTTTTTATTTTGCCGCCTCCGCCAAAGTCGTTACCGCCGAAAAATTACCGCCATACGGCATTCCCGCCGAAAAATCAACATCAAATAGGTGCGTTACCGCCTATCGACGGTCCGAGTGACTAGAGGTCTAGCCCAGCATCATTCCAGATCACTGACCGTCAGGAGTTCGAGTCCGCACGTGGACTTGCTTGTTTTGTTTCCGAACATATTTTTCACTTTTTCAAAGATTTTATTTCATCTGCTCTTTGGTTCTGGAGTTTGGTTCGGGTTCGTTTTTCCGTTTTTCTGGTCATATTTTTTTATTTTTTACGTCGTGCTGACTCTAAAATGTGAAAGCCACTGGTGAATACGAAAAACAATCCATGAAAGTACATGGTCAATCTTCCGAAGGAGGATTGGCATCTGTTCGGACGCCGTAACTCGGCACTGCACTTGCGGCCTTGTTTGGTGTCGCTTGAAGTTGTGGTCATATGTAAATATTATGGCAATGGCACTCATTACCACCGTCAAATTACCGCCGTGGTGGGCGGTCCCAGTAATCCGCCGTTTTGCCGCTGTTTTTTGGTTTTACCGCCTCCGCCAAAGCCGCTACCGTCGAAAAAAGCGTTACCGCCTACTACCGCCAAAAACATTACCGCCGTAAGGCGTTACCGCCGAAAATTTACCGCCGTTTTTTTATTTTGCCGCCTCCGCCAAAGTCGTTACCGCCGAAAAACGCGTTACCGCCTACCGCCAAAACAATTACCGCCAAACGGCATTACCGCCGAAAACCTGTCCGCCTAAAAAACCCTTACCGAGTAAACCCTTGATAAAAACGCATTTGTTGTGTACCAATGTACCAATGTACCAATGCGCACACAGATATAAGAACAGAGCCCCAAAACACGGCGGCGGCTGCAAGATACCCCTCAGGAAGGTGGGAGGTGACCCCAACATCAACGGCTACTTTCAGATTCGGGGCGGGAGGGGGGCGGGGGACCTCGTGAAATACTGCTTGTTCGCGCGGAGGGGGCAGGGGGCTTACTCATGTTTTGCAATATTATTATTTTCTTAGCTGATACCAGTAGATTATTGACCACGCGTCCTCGAGAGGACGGAGCATTGTTCCCGCAGGAACAATCAAGCATGGCCAATCGTTCCTTCCTAATTTGCCAAAGGTGACTCAAAAAACGTTTTCTACAGCAGTATCTATCTAAACGAAATCACTTTCCGCCTATTCAACCCACTTCTCTACACCAACTACCTACCGCATTTTCATGCTTGCTTCAAACATCTCCCTGTACCTCTCTTGTTTTCCCCAGCTCAGACATGCACATTTCTCTCTCCCTGTCGTACAACGGACATTCCGCAACTACGTGAACCCGGTCTTCGCACTCGGAGCTGAATCATTCACATTCACTCGAAGTGAGGGGTTCCCGGTTTTCTGCTGGTGTTCAACACGCCTTTGTACCCTTCGTTTGAAGTCCACCCAGAAAGACCCATCTGTGTGCTCTTTCGGGGCAATCGGCGTAGAAGTATGAACAAGAGCCCCGTTTTTCCTAGGTAGACGTCTGTTCCTAAAAAAAACTTGGAAATGAAAAACATGGGCTCGGTTTGAGTCAACCAAAAAGCGTCGAACTTCACGCAAAATACGCGGTTCTCAAGTGTGGCGCGTTCTTCTGCAATAAGTTTAAGGACTGCAGGCATTGAGACTAAATAAAAAAAATACTCGCAACAAATTGCAACAAATTGTTTATTTAGAACCTGGTACGTACCAGTGTTTTCGCCTATGGCTGGGTGGAAAGATCTATGCACCCTGCCCAGGAGAGTCTCGTGCACTGATGCTCGCCGCGCCCTGCACTGGAGACGATCGATGCAACGCGAGCTTTGGAGGGAACATCCACTAGACATGCTTCGAAACCATACTATGTGAAACCAACAACCTACCACCAATAACCCCTCCTTCCCGTCCATTCCCCCCCCCCGTTCAACACCGAAGTGCGCCTATCTGTCTGCGGCTGCATCGAAGAAATACCACAGGTTTCCGACGCCCACCGCACCACGTACGTACGACAACGAACCGGGCCGAGAGGGCATGTTCACGACGTGCACCAACAACGACCTTCCTCCGCACCCGCTACGGAGAGAGGAGCTTGGCAACATCGCCGGCGCGTGCGGCAACACGACGGCTTGATCTGGCACCAGCATGGTCAAATACAGTAATATATACCATGTGAGAACACCTCCCGGGGCGATCGCCCTTCTTCTTTTGTGAAGTGGAAATCATAAACCCCGCCGGGGTGAAGCTCAATGGAAGAAGGGCGCCCGTGCTTTCTTTCTAAAAACTCAAAAACAAAAAGCCTGGGCGAAAAGACCCCGGGGGGCGTTGTCTCTCCTCTTCTGCTGTGATGATGCACCTGTTGTGTAACACAACCAGAACATAGCGCTGATACGCTGACCCACAAGATATCGGGATTCGCTTGAAACACCAACACCAAACCAACTACAACAACACGGCAACTGACACACACACGAGAATGCTGCCACAATGGAATGCCGTCCGTGGGTTTGCCTGCAAACGGCCCGCTGGGCGCCCCAAACATCTGCCGAAAAAATAACACCCCGGGGCTTAAACGTAGAGGGGCCAAAAGCTGAAAAATAAGCAAAAAACGATACCCACCCCCGGGGCTATAGCTGCCGGCGTCCCTTGGCGAGGGTCCGTTATCACCAACCAAATGGTACCAAGTGGGTGTGTAGCGCATTGGACGCACTTCGCCCAGTGTCACCACTCGATATCAACCGGTATGGTCGGTTGCGAAGTGGTCCGCCAAACGTTATTCTTCACCCAGCCACGGATGTAGCCGTAGCCGTTGGCATCTGCCACGTCTGAAAGCTCCCCGTCCCATGTGCAGTCGTTCGCTAGGGCCCAAATCAACAGTGTGAGGTACCCGTACGCGGCTGCCTTGGTGCAGGTGTCGCAATCCCAAGGACAGCCCTCTTCACGAAGCCATTGAAGGATCTTGAGATTCCCTCTTGCAGTCGACATCGCGCAAGCCCGACTATCCCAAGGACTGCCGTTCGCTCGTGCCCAGCGCATAACTCCAAAGTGCTGTCTCCAGGTAGCCGACGCGAAAGTGTCATGGTCCCACTCGCACTCGTCGGGCCCACTGCAACACTTCCAGGTGCCCACCATCCGCTGCCGCTGCGCAGGTCCGCGCGTTCCATGGACATCCATTACGCCTCGCCCACACTAGCACTTCAAGATGGCCGCCAAGTGCAGCCCCGGCGCATGGACCCCCGTCTTCGAGGTCCCAAGGGCAGTCGTTATCCCGGAGCCACTTAAGCATGAGCAGATCTCCTCTGCAAGCGGCCAAGTAACAGGATTCGCCGTCCAGGGGGCATCCTTGAGCAACTGCCGACTGAAGGATGTCCAAGAATCCGCCAGCTGCGGCAGATCCACATGTCCTTACATCCCATGGGCAGCCGTGTGTACGAAGCCATTTCAAAGTGTCGTGGCACCCGGCATAGGCAGCTTCGGCGCACGCCTGTGGGCCCCAAGGGCATTATTTCGGGTCCACTGTCCCCGTCGGCCAGTTCTCGGTTGGGGACCTCACCCATTTCAGGACCCGGGAATGACCTCCGAGGGCGGCCAGTTGACATGTTTTTTCATCCCAGTCACAGCCCTCTGCGCGAAGCCATTGGAGGGTCTCAACGTGTCCCCCCCTGGCGGCCTGGCTGGGGTCCACCCGCAAGCGCTCTCTTGGGCAAGCTTAAGGAGGTCTAGTCTGCCGAAACGGGCAGCGGCGTTGCAGATGGTCGCTTGCCTGATGCTCGAGGGCAGGCCGAGCTCCAAGCAGTACGTGAGCTGCCTGACGGAAGTATCAGCCACCACGGGTCGGGTTACCGTAGCTCGTGGACCCCACGCGCGCTGAAGGCCTTCGACACCGGAGCGATGAACAGGTACTGGTCCTGATCCACGAACTCTGCAAGGTACCACATGATGTCTTTGTTTCCGAGGACAAACCAGGATGCCAAGGTGTTTCCCTGCAGGTGATATCACCGCAGAGCAACCGCGGCGAGGGATTGGGGTGTTGGGGCGGCGAAGGAGTCGTGCACGCTTGCTTCATATGTACACCGTAGTATCATTTGAGAACACCTCGGGGGGGGTGGTCTTGTCCTTTGGCAAAAACATCACTCCGGGCCGTTCTGGAAGGTGGAGGGCGACATTTTCAAACACTGCAACATGTTATTTTTTCTGTTGTGAGGTACCTGTACACAAACCACAGCGCCGACCCACGAATGTCGGGTCTATAACACAAACCGCGGGTGTACCTTGACGTGCCTGCTACCCTGGCGGTACTTGCTTTTGGGGGGGGGCGTTTTTAAGCGTTTTTATGCCGAGGGGGCGTTCTCGAAGGATTTTTTTTTTGTCTTCACTTCAAATCAGCGCTCACAGCACTATTATATTGCCGTTTACTCCAACCCGTGGTCACACAGAAGAGCCCCTCTCTACCCTCCCCTCCTGCGGTACTTTGCCTTCGATTTTTGACGCGAGAAGAGTTCAGCACTCTCTTCCCTCTGTGTACACACGAACTAGCGCTATCCACTAGACCAGGAGCGGAAGCGAGAGAAAAACTCACTTTGCAAGAAAAGCTCGCTTACGCCGGGATTCGAACCCCTGACCTGACCTCTAGAAGGTTTCGAGGATACCACCTAGACCACCGGGGCGACCGAAGGATAGTAAGGTACGGTACGCCTGGTGCACGGTGGTGCGTCCAAGTATAGAGTATCGCACGGGCAAGCGTGAGTGCATTTTCACACGAAAAATGCACACATACGAGCGTTATGTGGAGTCCGCAGCTCCTTCAATCAACCCGACCGTGTAGCTCGCTCGATAGAATGGACCAACAGATGACAAGTTCCACAATTGGCAACAAGAACCAATCGGACTCCGCCGCGGACGCAAGCCCGGATTTCTCTCGCCGTCAAATAGGTGCCATACACTTGCTGGTTGGGACGGTCAATGAGCAGCCTTTGAGTTTGCTTTAGACAAGAATAGGCCGTTGCACAGTTTCAACAGGTGTGTGTGCGTCGACACACGGATTCACCTTCAATACGGACTATTCATGGATACCTTACAAGATGAACTGGGACAGATAGGTTGCAATGGCTTCCTCACATTCGGTGGGTTGTTGTGCGCTTCGGTCGGGGCGCTGGTGGCGCACCCTCCTCCTCCATTTGGCCCGGCGGCCGCTGCCCCGCCAGAACCTTGATTACTGCACTCGCGAGACGGTTACGGAGGAGCGGGGAACTCATGAAGCACGGGAAACAGCAGCGGGGTCAAACACCGGCCGGGCCGGACAAGATACTCGGTACAACCGGTTTCCGAGCGACAATGGGAGCTGTTCCAGTCACGTACATTGCGATAAAAATTGTTCTGTTGCTATAGGTTCCTTCTGGAATTCACGCACATCTCTTGGAGGTTGGGTAGTCACCGCAGCCTTCGCGCTGTAACCTTGAGCGTGATTCACGTGGGGTTCGTGTGGGATTCCCAATATATTCGTTCGTGATTTTTTCTCCACCTGTTCCAGTATTCGCTGGAAATATCGTGTCTCGCAAGCGTCTACAGTACACTCAGGCCAATCTATGACCATGCATGTATTCCCTTATTCTCGTCATCATTCAGATACCATGATGCTCGAGACGGGGGTGCTTGTTCCGGAAACAATAAATCCATGACCACGCGCGCAACCCTGGAAAGGCGAGTATCTACTGCTTTGTCGTCATCTCTCCATGTTCGATACGGTATTGTAGACATTCTGGACTAGTATTGAAAGAACAGTGCTTCTTTGATGACTTACGTCATTTAAAAGGCTCTAGGAATTTCGTACAAAAGCTTTCCTGCTCCAACATTTCTCTGATCTGGACAACAAGAACAACGTGTCGCGATACTTGGCAGAAATCCGCATCTGAAAAGTGGATATGTCTCTCTTCTACAGGGAAACTAACACCAAGCGCTCTTGGCTACAATCCAGTGATATACAAGCGCAACGTCGGAAAATCGAGAGAATCTGCCTTCCAAGTACAAGCACGTGGAACACGGCCTGACGTTGACGACATTGACTACTCGTTGGTGCAAGCCGCGCTTGACACGTTGGACTCGCCAACCTGACTGAAGCGGGGTACGGCCGTGATACGATTCGCCGATTCCTCAGCATGACCAACACTATCGACTCAGATGGTTTGTGCACACACCTTCCCTCTCGAGCCTGCCTGCGGCTAGTGCTGTCGGTGCCGCTGTTGATGCCTCCACTTACCGTTTCAGCACCAGCCAGTGATGGAGCAGCAACCGCAGATGCCGCACGTCCGTTCACGTCGATCCTTGCGTGCCGTGTGTCACTTTGTTGCGCACTCTCAGCTCGAAGAATGACTTGCCGTGGGAGAACTTGCACCTCTATGGTTATTTGCGACTACGCGGAACAAGGCCGAGAGAAGGGGACGGGGCGGTTTGTCACGCTTTGTCCGTGGCGGCAATGTTTTCCCTCAGCGACTCCAAACAAGGGTCAAGCGGGTGGCCGTATCCCAGGCCAAGCGTACGACAGGGGTCAATTACCAGGAGCAGGGTGCGATCATGTCATAAACCAAACTCCGCAAAACCGCGAACAAAAACGTCAACTGATATCCTGGGGTACAGGCATTTACACAAGCTTCATGGGAGAGAGAGAGAGAGAGAGAGAGAGAGACGGGGGGAGAGAGAGCGAGCGAAGACCCATGGTAGCTTTTCTGTGGTAGAACGTGAACAGTCAGGTAGACTTTTCAAAATCGTTAGCCCACCGACCGACCGGGAAATTGAATGGTTGTACCGGTCAGGCGTACTGCCGTATGGCAAGCTACCAGTTCTGCTGCCCCCATGGACATATCATGTCATACATTCGTGGGGATCGAAAGATTGACTACACTCGTCGAAAGGGAGGGAACATCTGACCAGACAAATGTCATACTTATTCGATTTACGAAGCAGGATTGGCGCAACGCTTGGATGGATCTACTACGTCCCGATGCGCGAGAGATCGAGGCAGAGGAACTGGTGAGTTTAAACAGTGACTGGCGAAGAGGAATCGTTTTATCAGCAGACCGCAGGAGGAATGTAACCAATCAGTTCGGCAGGTACCGTAAGGATGCGGGTCTTGGCACGGATCGGCTACATCGCACAGGCCGGGGTCTTGGCACAGGGGGTGCGGAAAAAAATCGGGTTCCAAGGGATTTAATTGATTATCGCACATGTATCGTTCACTTCGCACAGAGGTGTGCGGAGACCCCAATACCTTCGGCGAGGTTGGGTGATACCATGGTATCCAGCTTTTGTCGCGGGCCACTACTTGTACTGTACCAAGGTACATAGCTTGTATCAGGGGCTCCACTCTGTGTGCTTTGGCATCGTAACGGTGCTCATGTGCAAGTGATGTTGTTCAACATTGTCATTTTTGTTGGAAAACGGTTTCTACTCAATGTCTGTTCACTAAGTCTTCCTCACCTGGTGTGTACGACAAAGAGCTTCAAACCACCTCCGGTGTTAATGACGACCTGCACGTCTTGTACCTTGCCCCTGCCCTTTGTTGGTCCGCGCATCTGACGTCTCCGCCGGTCCTGGCTGTACCGCCGGTCCTCATTCTCATCCATGCATCTCGCTGCTGCATCCTCCCTATCAAAGACGAGATATTGATGAGGTCCAAAACGACGAAGAGGGGAGCACTGCAAGAAGTCAGTACCCTACGACACAGGGGCACTGAACAAGCAGATCGACACGGTCAAGGGCTTGTGTAAACATACTCTAAGGTACCTGCATCTACCAGGCGCTGTTGGGAATGCGATTTGAATCGATGGATTTGCACACCCCAAGAGGAGCTGAAGTAGACCGCACAGATCGACAAGTTCTTCGCTGGTCTAAGCCTCGCATTCGGGAGGGTGCTTGTGCTTTCCCCGGCACTCAATAGGACCGCATCGAACGCGTATTTACATGAAACGTGGTGTTGTTCATTGTGAACGGTGTGAGGGACTGACTGCCCGTCACCATTACCGGAGGAGCAAACCGAGCTCGCATATTTCATTGAAACGGTTTGATGCGGCCAGGATCGCACCACAAAATACGTCTGCGCAGGCCGTATGGCGCGCTCTAATTCACATGCTCGATGGCCTTTGCAAACGCTGATAGGTCCGTTCCTAGTGCCCATTCACAAACAAAAAGGTGCTCTATCATACTTGCTTCCTACTAAAACACGGGATATCAATGAGGTCCAAAAAACCAAGAGGGGAGCACCGCAAGAAGTCAGTACCCTACGACACAGGGGTACTGAGCAACTACACGGATTGACACGGTCAAGGGCTAGTGTAAACATACTCTAAGGTACCTGCATCTACCAGGTGCTGTTGGGAATGCAATTTGACTACCGTATATCGATGGATTTGCACACCCGGAGGGAGCTGAAGTAGACCGCACAGATCGACAAGTTCTTCGCTGGTCTAAGCCGCGCAGTCGGGAGGGGGCTTATGCTGTTCCCGGCACTCGATAGGACTGCATCGAACGCGATTTTCATGAACTGTCCTCACTGCTGCTATTGTTCAGTATGAACGGTGTGAGGGCTGACTGCCCGTCACTATGCCGGAGGAGCAAACCGAGCACGCAAGTACCCGGGATATGTTTCATTGAAACGGTTTGATGCGGCCAGGAACGCACCACCAAATACGTCTGGGCAGGCCGTCATGACGGGCTCTTATTTACATGCTGAATAGCCTTTACAAACGCTGATAGGTTCGTTCCTAGTGCCCATCCACAAACAAAAGTGCTCTATCATATTTGCTACATAGCACGTACTTTTGCATGTTCTCGTTCCAAGTCAACACAAGAGCTTTTCTCCCACAACGGTTTGCATACGACGCTATAGCTGGAACCGTTAGAAACGCAATCAACATCAATGTCTGCTGGAGATACTCCTTGAACTAAAACCAAACAACTCGGGTCACAATATATCATACTTCCATCCAAACACCTAAATGTGATACGTAGACTAAACACGAACGAACATAAATTCCTCGAATAACATGAAAGTTTGTTGTCGAAGACCGAACATACTGTAGTCTATTGTGCACGGAAGAATTCGGGACATCTCCTAGATCTACGCACGTATTTGGGTTCTTGTTGTGTCACCCTGGAGGTGTGTTGGTTTGGATGTCTTGTATCGGTTTTCTGGGGTCCCCAAAGAGTAAGGTGTCACGGAGTTCTCATTCTGCAGGCTCGCTGCTCCTGCAGCAAGAGTAGTCCCCTACGCGACTGGGCGCTCCGGCCAAGCGAGCTCCATCATCATCCCGCCCTCGTCCCTCAGCCCAGTGAGAAAAAACTACGACATGTTTGCTAGCTATGGTCCGAACTTCGATGTAGCTAGCTGCTGCCCTCCCGCGTGACCCTCCGAAGCGGGCTGGGTGTTACACATTGTGTATTCCTGGATTGAGTCCAGTGGACACGCGTCTATCAAACTACTACTCTGGAACCCGACAGCCCGTGTGGTATGTGCTTGAAACAATGAGTGGGTCCTCCCTCGTAACATTCTCTCCTATCCCCTACCTTCGAAAGAAAAGGGGTGGGTAGGCGGGGAAAAAACTACGACATGTTTGCTAGCTATGGTTCGAACTTCGACGTAGCTAGCTGCTACCTTCCTATGCCGCGTGACCCTCCGAAGCGGGCTGCGTGTTACACATTGTGTATTCCTGGACACGTGGCCCTCGAGTCCAGTGGACACGCGTCTATCAAACTCTTGCTGCAGGAGCAGCGACGCTGCAGAATGAGAACTTCGTGAGACGTTGCTCTTTGGGGACCCCAGAAAACCGATACAAGACATCCGAACCAACACGCCTCCAGGGAGACACAACAAGAAACCAAATACGTGCGTAGATCTGGGACATATTCCGAATTCTTCCGTGCACAATAAAGTACCGTTTGTTCGGTTCGACAACAAACTTTCACTTTTTGTTTTTCGAATTACCTTGATTGCTATTTTCCGTGGCCTACGGAAGGAGACTTCCCCCGTACCACACGTTCCGCACGGCACAAAGCATCCGCGGCATCCTAACGTGTCTCTGCTAATAAAACACAAATATCTCCCTCCGAATACCACAAGACGGGACGATTGAGCCTCCCAATGGTACGCACTACCATTCAGAAAACACCCAATTCCAAGTCGTGCGACATCTGCTTCGGCAGACAACATAGGAAACGTCCCAATAAGAAACATGATTGTGCGATATCCCGAGACAAAAGAAACAAGGGGTAGAAGCTGGGGGGGCGTGTGCCAAAGAAACGTCCCAATGCTGCCATGTTCCCTTCTCCCACCTCCTACCTAGCTCATGTCATGTGATTTTTTGGGGCGGAGAGTTGTTATTTTCGCGGTGCCCCCCGCGCCCCAGCGCCGCCGCGGGTTGCGCAACCCACTGCTGCTGTACATCTGTACTGCCACAACCCCCAATGTTCGCAACACCGAGCTGTCGGTTTAATGCTGAATGAAGGCTTTTGATGTGTTGTTTTCTTCGCCATCAGAAATAAGATTAAACAGCAGGAATAGGAGAATCAGCAGGACGCGACAGCCCAAAGGAAAAAGAAATCCGTTTTAGGAAATTGACCGACTTCGGCTGGTCCTTCTGCCCAGAATAAGGAATTGAGGCTCGACGCGATTTTGACGTTTCTTATCTCCAGGCCCTATCTGTAAACAACGAAAAAATCCAGTTCACACCGCAAAGTGTTTACCAGGTGCTGTTGGGAGTGTGATTTGGCTACCGTATGTCGAGAGATTTGCACACCCGGAGGGAGCTTAAGTTGGCCGCACAGATCGACAAGTTCTTCGCTGGTGTAAGCCGCGCAGTCGGGAGGGTGCTTGTGCTTTCCCCGGCACTCGATAGGACCGCATCGAACGCGTATTTACATGAAACGTGGTGTTGTTCAGTATGAACGGTGTGAGGGACTGACTGCCCGTCACTATTACCGGTATTGTTTCATTGAAACGGTTTGATGCGGCCAGGAACGCACCACAAACTACGTTTGCGCAGGCCGTATAGCGGACTTTTATTCACATGCTCGATGACCTTTGCAAACGCTGATAGGCCCGTTCCTAGGGTCCATTCACAAACAAAAGTGCGCTTTGATACTTCTACATAGCACGTGCTTGTGCATGTTCTTGTTCCAAGTACCACACAGGAAGGAATAAGAGATTTTCTCCCACAACGGCTTGTATACTACGCTAGAGCTGGAACCGTTAGAAATGCAATCATTGTCAATGTCTAAAATTGCTGCTTCGTATATGGACATGCTCCTTGAACAAAAACCGACACAACTCGGATCACAATATATCATATATGTACCATGGAATCCGTAACGTGATGGACGAACACGATCACGTACTCATTGAACAACGAATCAACACAGCTCACAACGTAAAACGTTTACTATCATAAACGTTGGTGTAATTAACGAACACGAGCACCTCCTTATTCAACAAACAATGAAACAATGCGGCTCGCAAGAGAAAACTATTTAGGATCGAACCCGTAAATGCAACACAGATGAGACTACCTACGAGATAGTTTTGAACAAAAACAAATGCAGCGTATGGCCAATTTGGACCATTTTGGCTAATCATTGTTTTACAGTATGACAGATTTCGTCCGTGGGATACAGGCTACGATATGGTTCACTATTGCTTGACATCAAGTTGTCACTACCAGCGACACAGCAACAATACAGCTTCGATACTTTTCGCGAGTTTTTGTGTTCGGTTTGGTTTTGAAGAGGCCGATATTTTCTCGGGACGGGTTGGTTCCGGTTAGGTCAGGTCAAAGACTTCATGGGCTGAAAATACTCGCGGGTTACGTCAGATCGAGACACCAATTCAATCGGCTACCCAGTTGAGCACAACGTCCGCAGGTCAGTTTGCGTCTCCAGTTGCAAAAAGCCTTCATGGGTCAGGTCGGATCATATCACTGGCTGCAAATACGTCATGGGCAGGATCGGATCGAGTCACAAATCCACACGCCCAGCGTGGTCAGGTCGGACTGAGTCATCTGTGAGACAGGTCTTGCGGTTTGGGTCGGGTCGAGTCACCAGCTGCAAATAACCTTCAAGGGTTGGGTCAGATCGAATTACTAGTTACAATTGGTCGTGTCGGATTGAGTCATCGTGACACAACTCTTGAACGCATGCTGTTAGAACAACAATCATGAGCACGTTTCCGCTACATCAAAGAAGGAAGCTGCTTTGCATCATACTACTGTGCGATATATTTGCGATGCATGAAGAAGAGATGTCGACACGAGACAAGAAACGCAGAAACAGTTCGCACGTACGCACGCTCGACGAGCGGTAAGAATACTGCTGCAGGTACCACGCCGACGCTTTGAGCTAAGTCCGATGCCATCAAAATACACATCCAGATATGTGCAGGGCGGATTCTTTCCTTTGCCCACAGATACAATGATACAGGTTGTCGGGGGGGCGGGTGCTTATCGCCAGAGGCTGTGAAGCAAGGTTTACTCAAGACCTTGGTTATTTATCAAATGAGTAGGGCACGCTTGCCCTGCACGGCAGA